CGCTGTGATTGCAGTCTTGTTATCAGGGCTTTGAGATCTCCACGGTTGATTAATGCGACCCTAGGAATATTTGAGCTTGGGAAAGGGAACACTTTGGCAAGATACCAGGGCCTGGTATCTGGGAATGGATCCCGATTGGTATTTTTTTTTTTTGTCTTTGTACTTCTCTTTCGTTTCTCTTTTTTTTTTCGACTTCTTTAGAATAAATTATTTTATTTTAAAATGTATATTAATTTTTCGATCTTCGAAGTGGAAAAGGGGGGAATGTGGGTTCTCCTTCATTTTATTTTGTAGCTGGAAATTGATGAAGCTGAAAATTTCTCTATTCTTCTCTGTTTTGCACATTTCATCCTCATAATTCTATATAGTAGTCCCAATGAATCCATCCATCACATTGATGATCTTATCAACATCCGTTTGACATTGCGTGGGTACCATTCGATAATCTGCTTCGGTGATTTCTGATATACTTTAGAAACGCGAAATTTCAGATACTGATCGAAATTCTTGTCTCAATGGCAAAGCTAGTCTCGCAGGAAAGCGGTGGTCGAAGTCAGAAAGAGAAAGCTCTACGACGAGCGTTACGTGAACAACGTGATTTGCTGAATCTCTGTGGCTTACCATTGCCCGTTGATCCGACTGTTCGAGTGAATATGTTGCTCTCCGATACTGCAACGCTCTTCAACAGCAATTTGATGCCAATGAAATTGACGTTTCGAACTGAAAAAGGCGATAATTTCGTTGCTATTTTCAAACGTGGCGATGATCTCAGGTAATTTGAAGTACCATTTTCCAGGAAAAAGTAAAAATATGCTACCCTCATGGTTATTGTGATAGTACTTAGAGTTGCAGTTAGTGAAACCTCTAAACCTCTAAGTGCTAACTCAAACTGTCGAGGAATTGGGCGTATTTGCACTGGACGTTTGGGAGTAACCCAGTAACCTTAATAGGGCTGTACTGATGATTCCCACCTCTAACCACACCTTACACTGTCTGTGTGTATTGAGGTTTGTGTCACATTAGCAAATCAGCTATCTTCCCCAGCACAATTCACTAGCAGATCCCATCCTCCCACCCATAAAACTTAAGGAATTCAGCCGTTCTGAATTTTCTTC